CTGACTATTTTTCTATATGAGCAGGAGCAATCGGGGGGGTTCTTTAGATGCATTTTTGGAGCAAGTTTCGTAACTGGTTATGCCTATATTAGCAAATATTCCCAACTCTCTGTAGTTTTAAATTTATACAAGAGTCTATTTTTGGTCTTGAATCTGATGTATTTTGGAATTGAGGATGTATGAATGGAATTTTAGGAGGACATTTCTACTGTATATAGCAAGTAACAGATAGTAATTTGTACGTGATAGAGGCTACATGTTCTAGCGTGTGATGTAATTGCATGATATTATTCTGTGTACTATATAGCCAGGCTTGTCACAGAGCACACCATTGTTTGGGCCCTTTAACAGTTATATTGTTGAACTGCCTCGTGACTGGATAGTAGTGGGATGTGGAGTAACTGTGTATCTTTTATTTTACTGTCTTTTTTGAGCTCTTGAACTACTCAAGATAGTCAGATTAGCACTTTGATCATACAGACAAAGAATGACTTCTTTTATTTTCCTTATTGGACTTTGTTGGTTTTTTGGTTTTGTGGGGTTTTGGAGTTTTTTGGGGGTTTGGTTGGTTTTTTTGAGCAACCCATGGTGTTTATTTAGGCCAAGACAAGAGCATTGTGGTTTCTTGTGCATATGTACACTCACGCATGCATGTGTTGGACTGGAATGGCTAAACACTTTCTGTGCAGAAGTTTTGCATGAGCAATGTGCTTGCTTCAGAGTAATTAAAGACATTTTTAGTTTTCATCTCAAAGCGTTCACATATTCTCATATTTCTAAATGGATCAAAGCATTTGGTCTATATTGACGTGTATTGATGCTTAGCATAGACAGTTGTGTCCACATTCTCTGTTGCATCTAAAGTTTTCTGAGTGGTATCTTCATCCAACTAGCAAAACAGAAACCCACAGATAGAACTTACTTCTGGCTGACATGGGAGCAGAGCTGTCAGATGGGAAGGAGCTGACCTGCAAAAGCTTGTCAGCCTTTTCAGTGAGCTGGAGTATTTTAAAAGCTCACTGAGCATGGTCATTGAAATACCTTTACTCAGGTGAAGTGTGTAGGAGATTGAAATTTGGCAAAATGGGCTGAATGCATAGAATACCTAATAATATATGTGTAAGAATCTCTTCTGGGGATTTGAGACTATCTTTTCATGTTAATGAAGTACCTGGTTTTATAGAGGTTTTGTAGACCAGAACTTAAGAGCTTCCCTTCTGGCAACTTTTTCCAAAGATTTTCATGTTTTTGTGTCTTCTACATTTTGTAGATGCTAACTCATCTGTTTTGTGAAAAAAGACCCTCCTGGAATATATTTCTCGGTGTGAACATAATGTTTTTTTTCTACTGCTGGTGCACAAATGAACATCAGTTTGCACCATGTTGCATCTTGTTATCAGTTTAGTAATCACTTAGAATGTTTGCCCCTTACTAGATCAGTGTTAAAACTGGACAGTGAACTACAGAAACACAGAATTGCCAGAATGAACCCGAATGAATCTGTAATAAAACTTTCTGAGCAAAGAGACAAAGAATCGGGTAGCTCTGCAAGTGCGTGATGACATGAGGTCTTCAAAACTAGTGCAGAAGTTGGAGGACGCTCGTTATGCGTTGCTCATTTGCAGCAGGTGCGAGGTGGTGCATTGCTTGTGAGGAGATAAAAATGTTTGTCTAAGTAGTGCACAGTAATCTTCTTGGGTGGAATGGTTTTGTATTTAGATGAGGTAAATCCCATTCCTGGGAGCACTTCCATGGTAGCTCCTTGCCTTCTCAACCTGATATAACGTGTCCTTCTGTATATATGTGTTTGCGTATAACAAAATTCAGTAGGTGAATTGCCTCAAAACTGCTTTAAGACTGAACTGCTCCTTGTTCTCAGTATGGTATATATGTGTGTGTATAACATATAAATGCATGTCAATATATGTATTGGACTACCTTAAAACCCACATAAAGGAACAGAGATGAAGAGAATTCAAGAGCCCAAGAAGTCGGCAGAGATGACAATATATGTCTCTTGGCTCCGTGCCTTTAACATTAAAATCCATGCCTTTAACATTAAAATCACCTCTCCTCTCTGATGAAATCCTAGTCAGATAAGTATTACCGTAATTTGATTACAAGATCATTTTAAAGCATTTTTTTCTGTCCCTGCTACCCAACTGCCCCTTTTTGGCAGTAAACCTCTAGTGTTGGCTTCATGCTCTGAAGAGAGGTTTTTTGTGTCTGTTTCATGAAACACCTTCATCTGAAACAGCAGTAAGCTCTTGTCATCTTCACAGATTATTTAAGACTGGTGGTGTACTGGGTTTGCGTGGGAAGGTTTTGGTAGCAGCGGGGCTGCAGGGGTGGCTTCTGTGAGGAGCTGCCAGAAGCTTCCCCTGTGTCCCACCGAGCCAGTGCCAGCCGGCTCCAGGATGGACCCCCCGCTGGCCAAGGCCCAGCCCATCAGCGATGGTGGCAGCGCCTCTGGGAGAATGGAGTTAAGTAGCGGGAGGGGGGAACCTGCACATCTGCAGCTGGAGAGGATTGAGAATTTGTGAGAGGAACAGCCCTGTAGACATTAAGATCAGTGAGGAAGGAGGCGCAGAAGGTGCAGGTGGGTGCCTGAAGGAGGCCGTGACCCTGTGGGCAGCCCACGCTGGAGCAGGCTCCTGGCAGGGCCTGTGGCCCCGTGGGGAGAGCAGCCCAGGCTGGAGCAGGGGGGACGGGCGGG